TTTGGCCAGGCCAGGGTTTGTCTCCCTGAAGAATACATCCCAAAACACACATTCTGTTTTATGGAACCCTACCAAAGTCATTAATCCATGAACACATGAGGTAATAAGGCAATCAATTATGTGGAAAAAGCACACTTTTGCAATTATGGGGAAACATTGGGAAATTGTACTTGACAGTCAAGTTGAGGATAAATATGTTGTTACATTACTTTGTGATCAAACTTATTTTCACTTGGTGGATAATAAAACACAGGCAGCACCACTCAGATATTCTTTAGATTGTAAACATCTACGTAGTTGCAGTCTGAAGTGTGTTGTTTTAAGTGCACTGGTCTGTTATCACAGAAACCCAAGGAGGATGGACATTCAAGAGGTAGATGGAGAGATAGCAGTCAACCCCTATGAGAAAGCCTTTGATCTCTATTCCCTCGCCCCATCCCAAGGTCTAGAATGTAGAGGAAATCTCAAGAAGATTCATCCCAAGGAAATCTCAGATGCTGCCTGCCTTTCTCTGTGCAGGTGAGAACATCCTGTTATGTTGTAATCTTCTGAACAGATGTCATCAGACTATTATGTTCTCCACATGTTAGAGAATCAGACACTAATGTGAATCTTTGAGGTATTTTGTCTCTGCTTGTGTTTCTGGGGGATTTTTTTCTGGAGGAACGTTTTCAATTGGAGCCCAACCTCGCAAAGTTCCATCGTTACCCACAAACCACCTAATCTCCATGTACTTTATCAGTTTTTCCAATTTAATTTCTTCAACGTTTCAGCTAATCAGTCCAGACGCTTATCCAAAGATCTTCTCTGGAGCCTGATATTCTTACACACACACACCAAGATTTTTTACATTCAGTGAGTTTAAGATAAATGATAGCATCTAAAGAGCGAGTTCAGTTTGAAACTAGGCTTATCTTTGTGTTCAGATCTTCAAAACAAAAATGCAGTTCATACAGTCAAGTGACCTCTTTTATTATAACATTTGCCATTTCAGGTGAAGATGCATCTCTCTGCAGGTCATCCTGATGAACCTGGTAAATGTGAGAAGCTTTGGTTGAGTGTAATGTCCACAGCGGTCTAAAAAATACACAAAACTCTTTTTCTTTCAGTGTTACAGGAGTTGTTTCTGTTCAAGACTTGCTAAGGAAGCAGCCTTTGACCTCTGACCTGTGCTTAAAGGAGGACAGAGAATAAGAGGTTTGGATGCTCAGTAGGAACATTTTCTGTTTAGATTTACAGCATTTGAGCTCTTAAACTCAAACTATCACACAGACTGAAAAGCCTCCAGAGTTCTCAAGTCTAGAAGTTGATGTTACTCGTCAGTATGTAGTGAAACTTCACACCAGAGCCTAAATATCTGTGATATCTCACTGTTCTGTTTCAGTGTGACTTATCTTTGATAAGATTATCAAATAGTATACTTTAAAATGGATGCTTTAAATAATTAAGGAATGTGAATCAGTGCCGTTCGACAGAATTTACCTGAACTGTTTGTTTTAGTTAATGACAAACAGATGATTAGGTGACCAATACATTTCATAGTGTGAACAAACCTTGTTTTTATTTTTTATTCTGTCTGTGCAGTTTACATTAAAGATAATAGTCTTTGAGAATCTGCTCCTGTTCTTCTATCTACTGTCGTAACAGTTGACATGAATTAAAATGTACAAGCTGGATTTATTCTGAGTGCACAAATAAAAAATAAAAAAATTTCTCAATGAATTGTTCGTTTCCTTCAGAAATATGTCACACGCAATATATTACTTCAGATGTATTTTGCCAAATTAAGTTTGAGAGCGTGTTTGTATATTTTCATGAAAACATGTCGTGGGCTTCATTGTTTACTGAAAGATTTTCATTATATGCTTCATATTAAATAATTAAACACAATCTTATAACTATTTTATCTCCGAGGACTGATGCCCTATGTCCTAAGCTGTTCTTTTAGTAAAAGTAACATGATCATAAATGGTGTCTGAAAGAAATAGACATTTGTTTGCTGTTTTCATATCCATATGATCTCCTGATATATCAGTAACAGATGTCACTGTGTGTTATGGACATGAAAGTCAAATATATTGTCATGTGAATGTCAATAAAGTCTGAACTTATGGAATCTTGTGGATGTGTCCATTTTGAGTGATTCTTGAATGAATAAATCATAAATCGGCTCATATAAGACAAAATAGTTACCTAATAAGAAATAAGCTATAGCAGTAAACATCAACAAAACTGACAATCAGCTCATTACATGAGTCAGAAAACAGTGACTATGATTCATCCCGAATAAATTAAGCAAACATCACGAGTCTCAAAGCAGACGAGAAGAACTTCAGTCAGGAGGATGTTTGGTAGTTACAGGAACTAACTAGTTGATTGACCAAGATCACATGAGACTTGTGAGAAGTTCAGTCACAGTCACATGCAGCTGTGGGTGGTTGTTTTCTGTGTTTGCAAGGTATTGTGGGAATTTGAGTTTTGAAGAAAAACACAACTAGTCACAGAAAAACCAGTAGCTCAGTGATCTGAATGTAATTGTTTCATGTGGAATATCCAAGTTCAAACCTCATTGAAACATCACTGCAATGTTTTTACACAAATAAAACAAACAAAACTCAAAAAACAGAGAGTAGTTGTTGATGTGCCAGTGGTTCAGTGGTTTAAATGTCTATTTTTGGCACAGGTAGTCCTGGTTCAAATCTCACTCTTGTGGTTAAAATTAGCTTTTCACTGGCTTCTGACTGAATAAGACCGACAATACTCCAAAACAGAAAAAAACGCAAATGTGTCAGTCGTGTCAGTCATTGACATGAGAGTTCCAGGTTCAAATCCTCTATTGAGGTGAAAAAAGTTTAGTTTCACTAGTCTTTAAAGAAAAAAGACAAAACTCCAGAAAAAGAAGTGAAAGTGGCTCAATGCTCTGAATATCAGCGTTTGATGTGGGCAATCCTGGTTTGAATCTCTTTCTTGCAGTGAAAAAAATTCTTTGACTGGTTTCTGACTGAATAAAAACACAAAATTCCCAAAAAAGAGAATTACATCCAAAAAAGCCAGTGGCTTAGTTCTGTGAACGTCAGCTCTTGATGTGGGAAATCCAGGTTCAATTCCCTCTATTGGAAAAATAGTTTAATTTCACTGGTCTTTGAATTAAAAAAAAAAAAGGTAAACCCCCCCAGCCCAAAAAAATAAGCAACATATGGAAGAGTGGGTGGCTCAATGGTCTGAACATCAGTTCTTGATGTAGGAGATCCTAGTTCCAAGCTCTCTTTAAGTGGAAAAATAGTTTAGGTCAACCGGTTTCTGATTGAATAAGATAAGATTCCACACAAACGGAAGAGCCAGTGGCTCGGTCGGCTGAATGTCAAACTTCAATGTGGACAATCCTATTCTTGCTGTGAAAATGTTGTTTTATTTTGGCTGGTTTCTGACTGAGTGTGTTATTCAGAAGAGCCAGTGGCTCAGTGGTGTGAACATCAGCCCTTGATGTGGGAGATCCAGGTTCAAATCTCTTTATTGAGCTGGAACAACTGTTTAATTTGACTGGTCTTTGTATAAATAAAAAAAGATAAAACTCCAAAAAAAAAGTAAGCAAATAAAGGAAGAGGCAGTGGTTCAGTGTTCTGAACATCAGCTCTTGATGTGGGAGATCCTAGTTCAAATCTCTCTCTAAGTGGAAAAATAGGTTAGTTCAACTGGTTTTTGACAATGAAAAAGACAACATTCCCAAAAAAGGAAGTCTATGCGGACAGGCAAGTGGCTTAGTGGTTTGAGCATCAGTTCTTGACATGTGAGATCCAGGTTCAAATCCTCTATTAAGGGGGGGGCAAAAAAAAGTGTAGTTTTACTAGTCTTTCAATGATGAAAAAAGACAAATTTCCCAAAAAAAAGAAAAGTGAGTGTGGAAGTGCCAATTGCTCAGTGGTCTGAGTGCATTCTCCCTGAAAGGGAAAGATCCTGGGTTCGAGCCCCAGCCTGGTCACTAAAGCACGGTTGCGTGACGGTTGTCTGGTTGTGAGCTGACACGAGCTGCAAAGCAGATCAGGGCACAACCTGAGACGAGAGAAGGCTAGACACGAAGGGGGGAGTGAAGATCCAGATGCTCCCCCTGGGACTTCCGAGACAATATCCAGCAGCGGTTATGCAACAGGAATTAGAGTTTTGATGTTCGACAATATTTCTCTTATTAATAGCCAGCCCACCCACTTTACTCTCCACCCACAAAGCAGCAGATTTTTACCTGCAAAATGCTCCACCAGGATCAGATCCAGGACTCTTCTGCCTCCAGTAGCTGCAAAGCAGATCAGGGCACAACCTGAGACGAGAGAAGGCTAGACACGAAGGGGGGAGTGAAGATCCAGATGCTCCCCCTGGGACTTCCGAGACAATATCCAGCAGCGGTTATGCAACAGGAATTAGAGTTTTGATGTTCGACTTCTAAAATGGATCCAGACTAAGTCGACAATATTTCTCTTATTAGTAGCCAGCCCACCCACTTTACTCTCCACCCACAAAGCAGCAGATTTTTACCTGCAAAATGCTCCACCAGGATCAGATCCAGGACTCTTCTGCCTCCAGTCCCACAGCTGTACCAACTGAGACCTGCACATGGAGAAGGGTGTGTTTGGCCCATTTGTAGAGAAGATTATTGTATTAGATGTTTTCTCACACAGAGATGAACATCAGCTTGACACTCTTTGATCCGTGCCAGAATCACTGACGGTTGAATGATTCAGACTACAACTGCATTACATGAAAAGGCATTCAGACGTAAACGTTGCTGATAAACTGTAACTTATTTTAAGACATGAGGTTCTGTTAAGGAGAGCTAAAATGGATTGTTTTAACTTGAAATAACTCCGCTTATCCAAAGACAAATCTCCTCAATTTGTCAGATGCACCCAAATCTCATTCAAAAGATTAATTTGATTCAAAGTAATAACAAATATTTGGAGAACTGAGAAATCTGGAAATATCTGGTAATCATAAACAGCACACAAATGGCACATGTATCATTTTATTGTGCACACACCTTATATATACACAAACTGCATTCATTCTCTAATGGAAGGCATTTGTTTAAACAAATGGCCCATCAAAGCATTTACCCACAGAATGGGTCCGAGCTGGTATAACCACATGGGTCCAAGAGAAGGTGCATTACAACAGAAAACAGTGCACTTCACTGCATCCAGAAAAAGGTCAAAGATGAATGAGGGTTCAGCGGTTGCTCCCCTGCGACCTCCTCATGACCCCCAGCAGCTCTGAACCAGAAATACCCTACAGACAGAAAGCAGACACTCAAAAACAGCTCACATTTCACTAACAAGCTCTTCCTGTAGGAAGCCACAAGTCTCAGACAGACAGACAAGATGAATGTTAAACCTACTGTTGTGTGGTGAACCGAGCCGGCCTCAATTAATAAAACTTTAATCAAAAACCTGGTTAAATGCAGTAGTCTTTAAAATGTCAACAATTTTATATGTAGCTTAATGCAAAAAAAATAATTAAAATAATGTACAAATATACATGATCTAAAGACAATTACTTTAAAATTCACATCTGTCATTTCACAAAAGAGCCCTACTTTGTGGGGACATATACTGAAATTAATCAGCTTCAGGTGACAGGGGGTGCTATCATAAGGATTATGGATATCCACCTTATTTTGCTATGCATAAGCCATTTTCTGTGGATGTGCGAGACCTCCAATTCATTAGTTGCTATAGACAAACAACTAGAAAAGTAAGTAAAATACGTAAACAAACAAATACATGTTTTTATTATAGTAAAAGTGTAGAGTAACCATGGGTTTTGGTGAATTGATTACAATTCATATAATCACATACCATGGTTAAACTATGGTTAGTGTAGCAAAACCATTCTTAATTTATGGCTACCACGATCTAACAACAATAACCTTTTCTTTTGTTTTATTAGTAAAACCACGGTGCACAACAAACTAGCGTGTTCATAACTATTACAACACATGAAAACATTAAAATACCAGGTGCAACGTCAACAGACTAACAATAATGAGATACAAAATTAAAAACATGCTAAAAGGAACTCAAATATAAAGCGTTTTTATAAATGTAAAGAACAAATTTACCGCATTCAAAGATGACTTTTCTCTGTTCTCACATGCTCGTGCAACTTCTTGTTTGTTACGCCAATCTCTGACAGGTGTCCGGTTATTAATCACATCTCAACCAATGGGATTACGGCTTGTGAGTTAGTCCTGCCCACTGCTGAAGGAACCATCTGCGATTAAGCAAAAATTATTTTTTTTAAATCATCATCATCAGTCATAAGTATTAAAAGGGAGCAAACAATATATAATGTGCTGTTGAAATATTTTTTTTATTTAATTTTTTTGTGAGCAACTCAAAGATGGCGAATAAAGCAAGAGCTTTAACGTCTTATCACACCAGTTAACCTTTTCTTTTGTTTTATTAGTAAAACCACGGTGCACAACAAACTAGCGTGTTCATAACTATTACAACACATGAAAACATTAAAATACCAGGTGCAACGTCAACAGACTAACAATAATGAGATACAAAATTAAAAACATGCTAAAAGGAACTCAAATATAAAGCGTTTTTATAAATGTAAAGAACAAATTTACCGCATTCAAAGATGACTTTTCTCTGTTCTCACATGCTCGTGCAACTTCTTGTTTGTTACGCCAATCTCTGACAGGTGTCCGGTTATTAATCACATCTCAACCAATGGGATTACGGCTAGTTAGTTAGTCCTGCCCACTGCTGAAGGAACCATCTGCGATTAAGCAAAAATTATTTTTTTTAAATCATCATCATCAGTCATAAGTATTAAAAGGGAGCAAACAAGATATAATGTGCTGTTGAAATATTTTTTTTATTTAATTTTTTTGTGAGCAACTCAAAGATGGCGAATAAAGCAAGAGGTTTAACGTCTTATCACACCAGTTTAATCATGTCTATACTAAACTCGCAAAACAGAGAACATCTCACTGTAATGAACTGAATTACCTTATTAAGAGGAACGTCGTTTAGATGTGAAGTATCATGTTGCTACACCAAACACTACAGAAAAACCAAGCGCACATATGCTAGAGCTAAATGTACACTAAAGAGTTAAACTAATGAGCTGTTTGATTGGTGCGTGGAGACTTGATTCACGATCTAATTCCAATATCCCAAACGAGTTCTTGACAGAATGTTGACTGGTTATTTTCTTGCTGTTTGTCAAATAAAACCTGCTCAGTTTTTCGGTTGACTGTTGAACTTTTCTAAAAGCTCCTGAGTATGTTTGTTTTTTGTGTAAATGCAACATTTCATGATAAATGCCATTGCAGATGTATCCTCAGTATGTGTGGTTTTGCAGTGCTGCTTACCACAAAATATATATGTGATGTCTTATCTAGAGCATGCTTTATCAATAAACAATTAATAATTAAATTATGGTTATGAAATTGTGTTCCAGAATGCATCAGTTAACAACTTTTTCTCCCACCTGTGATCATATCAACCATGAGAGATTAGATTGTGATGCATAAAAATATCAAAAGACGTTTAAATTTTTGATTGACTAAAATAGCTTAGATTTCCCAATATGGCTCATATATGAGAGAGATCAATAATCTTGTGCAATACAATATTACAAAAATATAGCCGCAAGCGGCGATCTTCGGGGTCCAAGAATGAACGCCTTGTGTAGAGGATACAGTTATGTAACAACGGCCAAGCATCTTTTCAAACGTAATACGAGTATTCAAGTGTCTTTCTATGGAAGTATTATTTTATGTACTATATTACAATAGACAAATATTATTGTCTCTTCGTTTTAACGGGACCGCAATGCTGTCATGCCTGACAACTTGACAAATGTTTTCTGAATTTAGGATATATAAATATGAAGGTATTTTGGAGATCACAGATTAGACTTAGATTGCTTTAGTCTTTATTAAACTTCATGAAACTATAATGAATGTAATGCATAGTTAATCTATTTAACCATTTACACAGATTTTAAACTATGCCATCTAAAAAAATTGTTGTCTTGTGTACACATTAGTATCATGGCCTTCTTCTCTCATTTCCATTGATATAAATGGCTTGACATTTTATAAATTGCTGTAAGCACCCACGGCATCAGAAATGCATGAAGGTTGGCATGTTAACTGGTTGGCATTAGTACAATTCAAGGCAGCAATATGTAGCCTACTGCAATAAAAAGAGGCAACTTTTAATTTTAACTGGACAGCAAAAGTCATGTCATGCAGCTTGACAAATGTTTTTATCATTTTGATATATTAAAATGAAGGTAACATTTAATGATCTTTAAGTGTTTGGAGAACACATTCCTTTGCAAACTGATAAAGTTTATTCATCCATACAAAACTATAATGAAACTATGCTTTTTGCATCTTGTTTACTACAAGTCATAATTCAATATTCATATTTCAATTTATGAGCATTCATGTGTCATTCACATTGACATTAACAGTTGATCCCTGAGAAATTGCTGAAACAAACAAAAAAACTGCTTACCCTATGTTATCTGATACCTTCTGTGAGTATTGTCTATTTAAAGACTTCAGTTGGTAAATTTAAATATAAAGTAAAGGAAGACAAAAATATATCTACGGACATGAAGCAAGTAAAAAATATTTATTTGTTATTCAGAGTGATGGAAACTGATAGGAAAAAAAATTAAACTGATAAGAAAAAAGTGTTCTTATCCTGTGGTTCCATCTAGTGGACAACATTAGTATAATGTGTTGTAGTCCATCGGAAATTCTGAGTTGGCAAAAACCTCTTTTTTGATGTCCTCTTAAACTACTTGACTGATTCACACAAAATTTTGCATGTATCATCTACAGTGGTGTGAAAAAGTGTTGGCCCCCTTCCTGATTTCTTATTTTTTTGCATGTGTCACACTTTAATGTTTCAGATCATCAAACAAATTTAAATATTAGTCAAAGATAACACAAGTAAACACAACATGCAGTTTTTAAATGAAGGTTTTTATTATTAAGGGAAAACAAAATCCAAAACTACATGGCCCTGTGTGAAGAAGTGGACCAAAATTCCTCCGCAGCGCTGTAACAGACTCATTGCAAGTTATCGCAAACGCTTGATTGCAGTTGTTGCTGCTAAGGGTGGCCCAACCAGTTATTAGGTTTAGGGGGCAAACACTTTTTCACACAGGGCCATGTAGTTTTGGATTTTGTTTTCCCTTAATAATAAAAACCTTCATTTAAAAACTGCATGTTGTGTTCACTTGTGTTATCTTTTACTATTACTTAAATTAGTTTGATGATCTGAAACATTAAAGTGTGACAAACATGCAAAAAAATAAGAACTCAGGAAGGGGCCCAACACTTTTTCACACCACTGTATAGACAGTAATGACAAAAGGTTATCAAAACAATTTTAAATAGTCAAACGGTTTAGAAGATATTAGACCATTCATTTTGTAGCCATTGCTCCATACACTTATTAATCCACATCTTCTAAACCAAATTCATTTTGTCATCAGGGCCTATAGATGACACTTACAAAATGTAGTGTTAATTGGGCAAATGGTCTAGGAGGAGTTTGAAAAAAAAATAGATTTATAAAAAATGGGGGAATAATTTTAGGCATGGCAAAAAAATCCTAGATATATGTTTTGTTCAGTTATACTCAGAGAATCAGAGGAAAAAATAATTTTGATTGTAACCTGAATGGTTGCGGAGATATGACCATTTGGGACCATTCTGCCAAATTTGGTGTTTTGGACCTACGGTTTTGACTGACCATACACTTTTAGGGCAGAAAAAGAAGAAGATGAAGAAAATCAGTACAAAAACAATAGGGTTCTGGCACCTTCGGTGCTTGGACCCTTAATTAGTGATGCAGCACTTCATCACATTACACAACTACTTACTACTTACTTAAAGCTGAGCTACTGTCATGCTAAAATTGTAGGTTAGTAGTGTTGCTACTTTTAGTCTACCTTTTAGCTAGTCACTGACAAAAGTAAAAGAGAGGAGAAGAAAAAAACTGAGTCTGCATGATTGGCCTTAGGGTTCCTTGACCTAAACACTGGAAAAAATAAACTCATCTTACTGTAGCAGCATTTTAAGAGTATACAGCATGCATTTCAAATAGATAAAGGATATAGTCTGAAATAGTTTGCTGAAGGCTTGGACAACAACTTGTGTTTCACTCTGATGGGTATGGATGGAAAACGGTTACCTTGAACAAAGAACAGCACAGGGAAGAGCTCCGGTAGCAAGCATTTCAAAGTTGGACAAGATGTTCTGTCTGCTGCTGCTTTTTTTCCCTCGAAGTTCACTTACATCCCCCATATTGTCAATGTAAGACCACAGACCAACTACAGCAGCAATCTCTCACTGTGAAAACACTGCATAACTGAATAAGAAGATTAAGTGATTTTATTGAGCATTTCCTTCAACTACTACCATAAATGATAAAATAGTTATTGAAAGTGAGCCACTGAGAATTATTACTGACTTGATTTTGATTAAATATTATTTACATCTAAATGGTAATCGACATGAAACAAACCCAAAATCACGGCCCTAAACGGCTTAATATTCTGAATTCAGTTCAGTTTAATTGTGTCTGTTACTCTGTGTGGTACTTGTATCAAGCCTGAAAGATGTCTTATTTGAAACAATGGAGTACTTAATTCCATGATTGTATGTTGCTTCATAAAAGCCTATATTGCAAAAAAGATTATGTGGATCAAGTGCATTTTCAACATATTTTCTGCTGAGTTCAGTGTATGATGCAGGGCAAAAAACATATACTGTACTCTCAGTGCTGCTTCTGGAACGTAGCACCATGTGGCTCATGTGGGCTGTAATGTGTTAATACAGGCACAAAAATAACATGTACAACTTATGCGTCACAGAAACATAATGTGTAAACCTTCATCTACTAGACCAGTGGTTCCAAAACCTGGTCCTGGAGGCACCCCAACACTGCACGTTTTGCATGTCTCCTTAATCAAACACACCTGATTCAGGTCATCTGCTCATTAGTAGAGACCCTAAGACCTCTACTAATGAAATTGGTGTGTCAGAGAAATTAGACATGCAAAATGAGCAGTGTTGGGGTGCCTCCAGGACCAGGGTTGGGAACCACTGTACTAGACTACTACACTATACAGAACAGACTACTTTCACATCTTGCACCACTTTTGTTGTTTGTACCATACCTAGTGGACAGTGGCCTCATATTCAGCTGTGGCGGTTCCAGATGGTCCAGCTCTGCAGCCACTTTATAAAACTGTAGGAAATGATGCAAGACTAAAGCAAGTCTAAATACACAACATATGCAAACATAAAATGCCAATGTCTTTAAAACTTGTTTCTGAGAAGTAACAAAGATCAGCAAGATGGCGACATTGCCTTAATATAGCAGTTCAATAAACATTTATGTTTTGAAGCTGTCATAATTACGGATGTGATGTCAAGATGCTGATGCTAATGACGTCCGCGCTCTGGCAACAGACGCAGAGCGCCAGATTTTAAAGAATTTATGGCCGCTGAAGAGAAATGTAGAAGTGTCAAAAGCGGCATTGTGGCTTCAAACAACAATTGTGCCCCCCGTTGATTAAGGTAAGTACATCACTGTTATTTTTTCTCACAATAACGGCACTTTTGTCAGGTAACGTTAAAGGCACAATATGTAAGATTTTTTTATTAAAATATCCAAAAACCACTAGAACAGTGTTATATATTTTGCTGACTTCTGTACTTACATTATCCCAAATGTTTCGAAGAATGTTTAAATCCCGAGAAATAAGCAATTTTAACTAGTGACACAGACCGTGTCCATTGTGTCGCCTGCCAATGACGTCATAACCCCTCGATTTCCGGTTTTGTTTTGTAGAAAACTTGGAAACACCAAAGACTCTTTAATATGTTATGCGTTTTATTAGACCGGTGACGACCACACAGAGTAGCATAATAACAGAACTTTCAAATGTATCTAGTATGATAAAACAGCGCTGCTTCAGCGAGATTCTGAAGTGTGCATCTGGTGGACACTTTTCTATCCCATGAGGCCACAGAAGAGGATTTGTGAATGGCAGTAAAGCAACACATCTGACGCAGGTAGGTTGCATGACAATGACAACATGACAAATGTAATACGTCCCTATTACTTTCATACTATACACAGTCAACTATATAGAACAAACCTTTTTACTGGTTTCTAAGTGATTATTTGTTCAAAATATGTACACAGTCAGAGAGTATGTGATTTCAGATGCAGCCCACTTGTATGGCTATCCACTGTAATTACGTCATATATTTACAACACTTACTTAACTATAGGGGTCTTCAAATTTGCAAATATACACCAAACTACAAATAGTTGCATTAATACCCTAAGAAACCTCTCCTTAGATCTTCCTAAGCACCAATTAATTTTATTCCACTTTTATCTGTGCAAATTTAAATCATTGGTGTTTTTTGGTCACTCTGGTGTGGGTTTGAAATTATAATTTGAAACTGCCTGTTTACGTAGTTGCCTAGTTCATATTCGTCACATCAGAAATAAGCAATCACTGTTGCCTCCAGAAGTGTTTGGACCCTACTTTTTTCTGCTGCATTTCATGTGCCCAGGCATGTGTCAATCATCACTGGTTTCATTAAAATGAATAGAATGACTAAACTATTCAAGAGTACCAAAGCTTGACTTTTTTTTTATTTTTTTACTTTTACATAAGGAATTATACTAATGTCAAAATGTGGAGGCTACAAAAGCATCAAATGATAAAGAAGAGTGGACGGAACATGAGGAAGGAATTCGAGTGTTGATGACCGCAGTGATGAAAATTATAATAACAATATAATCATTGTCAATAATGACAGTGATGATGAGTATTACAGTAGATTTCATCTTACAGTGAATCCCATAATCATTGTGCCTCTCCATCTCCAGCAAGATCTTCTCTTTTAAATTTCCCCATGTGCTTTCAAGAACAAGCAGGAGTTTGTCCTCATCAAGTCTCTGGTGGGATGGGGTTCAATGCAACAGATGCATCTCACTCACTCCTGGAGTGTCCAGTGCTTCAGCATTCACCATCTCAGTGGAGCCAAATGTTAAATGATTATCAGGATGAGTTGAGAAAGCAATTACAGAGAAGAGACAATGCAGGCAAGTGACAGTGGGAGAAACAGCAACACAAAAAAGTAAAAAGTAAGATAATGACAGAAGTGTAGATACTTCATGGATATAAGCTTAAGGTATATTGACATTTGCTAAAGAAAGCACTTCTTAAAGGGGTCATATTAATCTTCTTTATTTAAAGAGTTTTTATATTTTATACATTTAAAGCATATGACCCCTTTAAAGTAAGGCTACCTGTCAGGAGGACCCAATCGCAGTGCGAGTAACAGGGGTTTGACAACACAAACTGATACAAGAGGGTAGTGAGGTGCGCATGTGATGAAACAGCAGGAGCACAGTAACAAAGAGAGACAGCAAGGAAACACCACTGGACAGCCTGGACTTCAATTGGCAGAATAGCTGCAGAGGAAGCGGCAAGACCAGGCTGATGGAGAAGACCAAGCAAGGAACCATAGAGCAGAGCTCAGATACTTGTTGACCGCCGACTCCAAAGCGGACCAAGTGCCAGGCAGGTAGAACCAGTGGCAGGACTCACAGGAACAGGTCAGGAACTCTAACACAAACAGACAAGACAGGACAAGGCTCCACAGGAACACAATTACTCCAAAGCAAGGGGATAAATAAAACTAAGAACTGGGAAAAAAAAAAAAAAAAGGAAATAAATTTAACCAACACACCTACTTAAAGAATATCAAACAAAAATGCAAAACAAGATCAGGATTAGAAAAACTGAATAAATATTCAAATAAAAGCAAAAGGCAAGAACAGACAAAATGCTAAAACAAACACGAGGAACAGGTGAGCACAATTAGACCAACAAGGCTAACAAGAGGGTGTGGTAAAGAGGAAACAAGGAGGAGGGGCTAGAGAAGCACATGGCTGAGAAAAACAATCAACTAGGCCATGTGCTGACACAAGATAACATAGACACAAGAAACCAACACAAGACAAACAGAGTGTCAGGGCAAAACCCTGACACTACCATATTACATTTCTGTACTTAGCTCATCTTGCTCATTAGTGTTCTGAGATCTGACTTGCAGTTTTCACCTGGTGGGCGATAAAACCTGTAAAAAATAAAAAATCATGCGACTTTCAGGCACCAAGAACATTCTAGCAATGGCCTAGATACCACAAGGCACAAAAGACTTGAAAATGACTAGCACCTCAATGGGAATATGACAATGAGTTTTTTTTTGTTTGTTTTTTTATTAAAAGCAAATATCACTCAATAAATTTTTGCTATCATTGTCACTGGTGTCTGTAGCAGTCTGTTCAATCTACAGTAATCCAAGTGACAAATTGAAATGGCCACTGTCCAAATCTGACCTGTGGCTCCAGTCCTTCCTCTGCCCTGTCTATGTGCTGACAGTATGCTATTCCAGCAGCTCAAGTCAAATGTGAGTGAATCTGCAGTCTTGAATCTTAACTCTTTTTCTCCTTATTTCTTCTAAATAGTTTTGCTAAGCAAGCTTTCAGTCTGCTGAGACAGTATAAGGCAAGCAGACATATGTAACTAATGGTGCTGCAATGATTGAGGTAGCTTTTTGAAAAAGGTGGCTAAATATAGGGAATTTTTCCATCTCTAGGACTATTGTGGATATGCACAATAGACCTGAACAGCGTTCTTCGAATTTTATAAAAATGAATAGTTCTCTAAATTCGGACTGTAAGGACCAGATTTACTAACAAACTGTCTTTTGGTGTTAAAATAGTACTGTCAGGATTTACTAAAGATGTGCAGTGATGAATTAGCGCTGAAAAGGTGTGGACACAGTTATTTTTGCGCCTGACCTTATTGAATATGCATTTGTAGGAGTTTCCCCTTCAGATGCAAAATTTATGGGAGGAGAGTATTAAAATGAATCACGCAATGCTATTTACTAATGTTTGCACTCATCAAATTACTGGTATTTGCGCCATTATTTAACGCCCCCAAAAAAGCATGTCTTAAAGCAGGCGGTAATTTGCTCTGCTCTTGGTAGACTGCTCTGGACATTATGGAAATTATCTGGCTGCGTCTGTGTTCTTTAATGTACGCATTGTCAGTAAATCACCCGCAGAATTTTACCCTCCCATCGGCACTTTTATGGAATTGCGCTCTAACACTAATTTGCCCTGTTTAGTAAATCTGGCCCTATAAATCTAAATTCAGAGTTCACTGAAATGCGTTCCTTCAAAGGAATTAAGGGTGCTTTCACACCTGGCCCATTGTTTCAGAACCTGGCGCGTTTACTCCCTTAGATCGGTTCGATTGGGCATATGTGAACACGGCAATCGCGCTCAGATCCGCACCAAAACAATCGGTCCGAGATCGCCTGAACGAGGTGGTCTCGGCACGATTCAAAACAAACTCTGTAGCGGTTCGGTTGTAGTGAGAAAGCAATCCGATCCAACGGACAAACGAACCAGGCTATATCAAAATGTATAATGGGTAATTACGTAAGTTCTGTGAAAAGCAGTAGACGATGTCTGTGGGTGAGCACATCTTCGCCATTCAAAATCAAAGAGCGCCTTTTCATTTTATAATGCCATCTTATTGCTCTTCATAGTAGGTGCATTTTAACAATGTTTTCCCGACGAATCCTGGACTCCTGCTCAAAATGATAAATTAATAAATTAATATAATGACAGCTACAAAAAAAACAACAATATGCCCTCGAAGCTGTTGTCTTTCCATCGTGACCGATGACAGCTATGAGCGGAATTCCTGAAAATAAATCGTGGAATTTTGACCAATGAGGGGACAGTTTACTCTCACGTGACTTGTATTAACAATTTTGGTCCATTTAGAAACTTTGCTGTGTGAAAGCGAACCGCACCAAGCATAAAAAGCAACATTGTAATAATTTTAATCCCTGCTTTGGAACAAAGCAATCGATCTACAGGTGTGAAAGCAC